CATGGAGGTGAATGCTCTCTGGGTTTAGAAATACTTCCTGCCCTATTCAAAGCCAGGAATTCCTAATATACAGGATCTTTCTTCTGAGCTCACTATCCAAATTACTTTTTCATACCTCTTGTATCAAATTCACTGAGAAGTGTAGTCAGACATCTGGAACGCTGATTTGGCCATAACTTTCCTTACAGGCAGGCAATGCAGGGAAGGAGGGCAGGGGCTGGACACACAGGAGTTGCAGGAGGACAGGGAGGAAGAAGAGGAAGGCATGAAGCCTTTTGTGTTTGGGAGGGATATATTTTTCCCACCTTGAGGTCAACTCTGTGGAGATGTGATCAGTTGACACGAGGAAGCCTGAGTGCAGGGGTGAAGACCAGTGTTCCCCTCTTCTGTGCCAGATCAGACACTTGCCATCATTGCCTTTCCCTGCAGCCCAATGCTTTGGTTTCCTTCTGATCCCATAATTAAATGTTTCTGTCTCAGGCTGATGTGAACAAGCCAGAAAAGAAAGATGGGCTGTCCTCACCAGCAGCTTTGTGCTGTAGAAGGAGCAATGCAAGTACAGCTGGGGCCTTCCTTGCTGCTTCTTACATTAGAAATTCATGCCTGACCTATCTGTGGCATGAAAAGCAGTGCTACCCGAGTGCGGCAGTGGGACACAAAGGTCCTTCTGCCAAAACTTGAAAACGAATAGGGTGCATCTAGTTAAGTCAAAGTAAAGAACACTTTGGAAGAAAAAGTGTTTATAAAGAGCCCAACCTCTTTCCAATTTGCAGATGTTTAACCATTCCCAATATCCTTTAATCTCACCATAAGCCTCTCCTGCTGAACCAGGGATGTGTGTGAAATATCCCTGTTGTTCCCAAGGGGGGAAGCAAGGGAGAAAAAATTTGAGAAACCAAAGGAAAGGAAATATGACAGCAGAACAATGAACCTGCCTGGCTCTCCCAGGGAGAAGGTTACAGCTTCCATTGAAAATGCCCTTTGAAGGTAGTTTTCACTATAAACAGATTCTGCTGCCATGTCACAGGAAAGCGGGGAAGGAACCAAGTCAAAACAGACTGGAAACAATTCCTCAGGAAGAGCTGCTGAGCAACACCCCTTTGCCAAGTAGCTGATGCCCCCCGTGTTTTCAGCTGCTCTGGGTTCAGGCCCAGTATCTGCATCCTGCAGAGCGGGACTTTGTGCCTGCAGGTAGACCTGGCAGAAATGGCTTTCCTCTCTCTCCCTCTCTCTCTCCATCTCTCTCTCTCACAGGGAGATACTGAGCTTACGCTGTTCTCTGCCTGGTGCCTTATCATTGGTTTTGAGCACAGGCTCAGAGATGCCATTAATTTCTTCTCACTCTGTAATTCCCACGACACTCAGGTCAAATCTGGATGAATTTCTCTTTGTAGATTCGTTTAAAGAAAAATCTTCCTGCCCTGTTTTTTACCCTGGTTCTTAAAAGACAGCCTCTTAATTGAACCTGCATTTCAGAGCCTGGTAGACAGAAGCCCACATGGTACCTGAGAGTGGACTTAGGTTGCGTCTGCACTAAAAGGTTTGGTCTGTGGTTCCTGTGGGTATGCAGGAGGGACATGCTGTCAAAATCTGAGGGATAAATGAAGTGCATCGATTTAACTCAAAAAACACTATGCAGGAAAGAAATTATAGAATCATTTAGGTTGGAAAAGATGTTTAAGATCATTGAGTCCAACCATAAATCTAACACTAAGACCAACTCTAAGCCATGTCTCTAGAATGTATGTAAAGGGTCTAAATCATGCTTGTTTGCGAATGTAAGAAACATGTTTGGGAAGGGCATGGTGCCTGTGGCAGGTCACCATAGCTCTGCATAGCCATGCAAATGGCTTTTGGCAACACTGGGAGAGGGGTCCTGCTTTCCCCAGGGCAGTAGAGCTGTGCTGGGGTGTTTTGGCACTGCACAAGAGCTGCCTCCCCAGGCACCCCAGGCTGGTCATAGCCTGCTGCATCACTGGAAGAGCTTTGCTGTCCCTGCGGGCTGGTGGCTCTCCTTGCCCTTCCTGGCCCTTGATCTCCAGACCATGCTGTTTCCTGGAGGGGCGCCTGGCAGGTTCCTCCCAGCCTCTTCCTGCCCCTGACTCTCTTTTTCTCTCTCAGTCCACCGCCAAACCTCGCACCACATCCATCATCCCCTTTCCACTCACCTCCCTTCTGCCCTCAAGTTCCAAAAGAGGCCCCCCCACACCAGCAGGAGGAAAAAAAGGAGGAGAAAAAAAAAGAAAACCTCAGTACCCCCCTCAGAAGTCACCCCCACCATCCAGGAAGAGGACGAGGAGGGGGGAGAAGAGGAGGAAGAAGAGGAAGAAGAAGAAGAGGAAGAAGGAGAATCTGAGGCAGAAGAGGCCCAGGAGAAAGAGATCTCTGCAGAGTCTGAGGGTGAAGCTCGTGGGAAGGACACATCCCCTAAGCTGGAGCCCTCAAGCAAACCAAAGGCAAGGCTAGGGCATCCCTATCTGGATGGGGCTCAGAGGTGGGGGAGGTGGAGAGAGGGCTGATGTCTTGAGAGTGCCAGGGCACATGGTCAGAGAGTGTGCTGCTCAGGGGGAAGAGGCTGTAGCTGCGCAATATTGTGAGAAGAGTGGTTTTGTCCCTGCCTAGCAGAGATGAGGACAGTGGCAGAAGAGCCATTGCTTGGGATGGATGCTGGGGAGGTTGTGCATCACCATTTTGGGGGTGTAAGATAGATGGGAAAAGGTCAGTGTGTCTGTTCTGAGGGTGTATAGGATATGGGAGGGCTCAACATGGCCAGTCCCATGGTATGGGGCAAGTGGGAGAAGTCAGTGTGGCCCATTCTGGAAGGTGGGGACATGGGGAGGATCTGTGTGCCGGGGACTGGGGTGAAGGCTGCCTGCCCAGGCTCTTGCTGTCAGGACGTTGTCTCTGCAGTTCACCATTGGCAGTGATGAGGAGGAGTCTGTCAGCGCTGTGTCCCCCGCGCAGTTCCATGTAGAGGAGGAGTGTGGCATCCTGTCCCCTGTGCCGTGCTTCACTGACCTGCTGCAGGACAAAGGCCCTGCCTCCCTCCACAGGTAGGTGAGCGGTGCTGAGCCCCCTACCACTCTCCTTGGGTCAGGGTCACTCCACAGACCCTGTCCCTGAGGGTAGTGGCTGTGCCCAGCCTGAAGTTGCCTGCAGAGCCAGAGGGGACATTGGGCCCTGAGGGAGAGCAGCTGTGAACAACGTGGTTGCTCTTCAGTGGTCAGTCACTCCCTGTTGCTCCTCCTACCTCCTTGGGTCTGTGGGATTCTCATGGTGTGGATTTGGAGGCACTGGGCTGCACACCCACAGTACTCTTCCTTTCAGCTAACTTGAGATATTGTGCTGACTGCAGGCTGGGAAGCCTCAGGGCTTGGCCAGGTTGGGAAACCGTTAGGCATTGGCTCAGAGATGGGTCCCCATTACTGACCACAAGCTGATCCCACTCCGTGAGGGAGGAGAGGAGGAGCAGAAGGGGCAACCTTTAGGTTTTGGGATAGGTGACTTCTGGCTCCTTCTCAGTGACTTGCTAGTCAGAGCTGAGCAGAGACCTTAGCACCTGAGGGGCTATTGCCCATCCTCATTCACCCTGTTTGCTACCATCAGTCTCTTTGGTTCCTACAGCCTTCCAGGGCCTCGGGAACGCTTGTCTCGCGGGTGGGAGAAGCGCAAGCCCTGGGGCCAGGTGGCAAGTGGACAACGGGTTACCTATGACTTGAAGGAGAGGATGTGCATTGGCAGCATGACCACGCTGGAGAGCGCCGCATACCAGCGCGTCCCCACGGATGAGGCTGAGGCCCAGATGCTGGCATCTGCTGACTTGGATGGCATGAAAAGTGAGGATTTGCAGCGCTACTTACGTTAAAAGTGCATGTGCCCTTTGTTTCTCCCTACTTTGCCCTCTTCCCTAGTAGCTCCAGGCATGGTCTTCAACTTGCTGTAGGAGCTGTTCCTCAATTCCCTGTCTCCCAGCCTCTGTTTCTGCAGCCCTGGCTCCTGTCTGTCAGCTTTGTAACAGCCACAGTGCCCCACGCACCTCTGCTCACACCCATCCCAGAAATGCTTGTTCCTCCACCCACCCCACTGCCCTCTCTGGTTCAGGGCTCCCTGCATTTCTCCAGGACCCAGCTCTCTCCTGTCCTGACACACTTTCCCTGCTATCAGCCCTCTGTGTGACACGCTAGCTCTGGCATCGCAGAAAACCTGAGGTGAGGAGCTCCCCCTCTGCTCTGCTCTCCTGGAGGAGAGGCAGCTGCCCCCACTGGAACGCCTCGGAGGGGGACTGCCCCTGTGCACGGCGTGAGGGCAGACAGGAGAGACGTCATGGAAATGCACGCTCTGGGCCCCAGGACATGGAGAATTCAATAGGTTGCTCTGCAGGCTGGAGAGGGAGGGAGACACCAGAGGGGAGCGAGGGAGAGAAGCGGTGCTGCACGCGCAGCCTGGCTGTCCCTGGACCACAGGGGCAGCGTCCCTGGGCATCTGGCAAGAGACCCTGCGGCACAGCGAGGACCCTGCTCCTGAGGAACTGGTGGGGCAGACCCCACAGAGGCACGCCTGGGTGGAGCCAGCTTTCCTGGGACCTCCTCAGTCCCCAGGGGCTGCTGCAGCCGGTACCTTCATGCCCTGTGAGGAAGGAAGCAAGGCACTGGGGCTGGCCCCAGGGCTGCGGTGAAGTCTCTCTGGGGGCAGTTTTTGCTTTCGGCGCATCAGCCTGGCTACCCCAGCCCCTCCTCTGAAGGCAAGTGGCTCATGGCACCTGACCCCTGACCTTCACAAGGACAAAATGACAACCCTTCGAGAGAGAGAGGAGGCAGCGAAGGAATCGGAAGGGGGCAGCAGCCCGGAGGTAGCAGGAAGCACCCATATTCGGAACTCGCTTGGCTATGAAGACTTGGGTGAATTTGCCTTCAATTTTGAAGACTATGATTTATGGGAGGCCATCAGAAATCATCTGGGCTACCCAGGCGGGGAGCCCACCTGTAAGTACCGGAGCAGTTGCAGCTGTAGATCAGAGCCCCCAGCTAAAGTGTATATCCCCCACCCTGTTTTGCTGTATGTACCCTCCCTATGTCAGGTTGGTCTCCTGGTTTAGAGGAGGTATGGTTTGCCCCACTGTGTGACTGGGGCACCAGCGGGTCTGCCTGGGGTCTGTGTGGCTGTCTGAGGTCTTTGTACAGATCTGTGTCAGAGTGCTGAGTTTCTTCTCTGTGTTTCACTCAAGCAGCTTCAGAGATAGCTGCATCTTGCTGTTTGTGCTTATCAGGATGTGGCCTGTTCTGTGGCTAGAGAAAAAGCAGCTGCTCTGAGCTGTGTATAAGGACAGAGGCGTTTCCCCTTCTATCTGTGGCACAAGGTGACAGTGCTCTGTTTGCTGGAATTTGAGCTGAGCTGTGGATCCAACAGCAGAGTTGGGTATCAGATTCTCACCTCTGCACCTTAGCCTAATGCCTCGAGGAAAAAATAATTTAAACCCTGTGTCTGGAGGCTTAAGCTTGGCTGTGAAACTAGCTAAAGGCAGGCTGGCTGGGGTGCCTGGAAGCAGGAAAAGAGGAAGGAAGCAAGAGTGGGAAAAGCAGGGAAAGAGAGAATAGGAATCCCAAGGACAAAGAACTTCTCCGCATCTGTTTCAGACCTGCGCATCCCTTGTGGAGAGCTGCATCTCAGCTGTTGCGGGGACTGTGCAAAATCCAGAGCCTTGCTCCCACCTCATGCAGGCGGTCCTTCCTGGGCAGATGGTGGTAGCTCACGGTTTGAAGGTGGCTTCGTCTGTCACCTTGGAAGTGACATGGTTCATAGCCATAGCTTTGTGGTGGTTGCCCAAATGTCCTTTTCATGGCCTGGGTCATGTGTTAATTTTTCAAGGGATTTTAGGAGCACACATGAGAGGGTGATGCAGTCCCAGAACTAGTCCTCTTACTGGCTTTGCACACAGGAGTGGGGAGGCACAGTGCTTGCAACAGGGAATCAAGATGCCTTGGTTGAGATTCTGGCTCTGCCACAGTCTCTCTGTGTGATGTCAGGCAAAACATGTAACTTCCCCTGCCTCCCAGTCCCAGCGTAGTGCTCTGTTTCTCAGCTAGCCCATCTTTACAGCCCTTTGGGGAAGAAATGTCTGCCTATGTGCTTCTGCAGGGAGCAGCAAGTGGGGATTTGCTTCTGGCTGGGTCTGCTATTTGTTACGGTGAATTGATAGACATTGTAGTAGCAGCAAAGTTCAAAATAGAAACGTGAAGCAAATTGGCTCCATCAGCTGTCCTGAGCTGAGCAAACTGTACATTAGAAGTGTGAGAAATTGCCCCAGTCTCACACGGGAAAGGATAGCTATTCTTGGGAAGGTAGAAGGGCAGATAGCTTCTGCAAGGGTGTGGTGTGCGTCCCTTATAAAGAGGGGAAATTTGCCTTGCTAGCAGTTAACACATTCATTCATTGCTACAGCTAATACTGCAGGTGCTTGAAAAAGGATGTGTTGTACAGTCAACTCTTTAATTATTTCTGCAAAATGAATACACACTGTGGGTGAATCCTGCAGAGAGATATAGTGGAGACAGAGGTGGCAGAGACACCAGAGTCAGTTCTGTGAGGAACCTATGTCCAGCCAGTGCTGTTTGCCCACCTACTTACTGCATAGCAGTACCTCTTCCAGGACCAACTCAGATCCAGGAGGAATTTAATAGCTTTTGAGCAGAGTGAGTCCTTGTTGGACCTGAGCTGCTCTCCTTGCACTCCTTTTAGTGCTCAGAGCATGGGGAGAGCTGGGCAAGGAGACCTGCATGGCAGAAGGGATGAGCTGGGTTCCAGCTGTCCCTATCACATTGAACTTAGCATCAGCCAGGAGAGACTTAGGCTTTGTGCAGGGCAGGGCTTCTTCCAGAAGCCAGCACAGTGTTGTGATTTACTGTATGTTGATTAGCCTTTTGTTTAGTCTAATTTTAAATATTCAAAGAAATTGAGTTTCAATCTTTTTTTGTTTTCTTGGTATAACTTAAGCATTGGGGTACATGGGAAGTGTGCACCATTTTTGTGATGCGGGGATAGCAAGTAGCTCGCTAGTACTGATACAAATACTCTGATTCCTCTTTCTGGACTTCCTGCTTCTGAATAGAAGGTAATGAAAAGAGGGAAGCCTGAGCTTACACACAAATGGAAAGAAATTGCCTGCCAAGTTGGACTGACTCACAGCCACTCTGCGAGAGACTTTAACAAGTGCAAAGTTGTATTTGTCATCTTCAGATGTAAGTTGATGGAAGAGGAGCTTGGTCATCCCAAGAAATCTGACTGGAAGCCAAGGTAGCAAGAAGATCTGGAGGAGACTGTAGGAGATGCTGTGTGGGAGGGTGGCATACCAGTTCATTGTAGTTACCATAGGACTCATTCTGTGTCCTCAGATATTGTCACTGTCTCATTCTCTGCTCCTGGGGAGCACTGGAGAAGACATGAAGGAAGAGCTGTCCTTGGCTCCTTCAACTCATCCTGGGGAGTTTGGCTCCAAGCAAGGAGGGCAGAGCTCCTATGCCCTGGGCACATCACCCTTTTGTGTCAGTCCAAGATCCTGTCCTGAGTAAGGACCCAAGACTTAGTGAAGCTGGACTTTAATTTGGGGGAAGCACCAATCTGATGTGACACAGAAAGATTGCTCTGCCTGGAGCAGCCTTTTGGGACTTCCAAAGCCAGGAGCCTCTTCGTAAATTAAGCCCATGTGTCCACCCTGCTTCTATGAGTTGTTTCCCCCCAGCTGTCATCTCAGTAGCCACAAGTGCATCGCTCCTTAGTCTTACGTAGAGCTCTGAAGGTGTGCCTTCACCAATTTGTTCTGAGCCTGCAACATTCTGGCTGCTGTCCTTGTCAGAGTGTGGGAGTCACTGGAGATGCTGGCAGGAAACTTGGCTCCTCTTATTTTATCTGTCCTCCAACCATTTGGCGGCTGAGACTGAACGCCTGTGTGTGCATTCCAGGGCTATTGCTGAGTACTGTGTGGCAGGTTGTCATCACCATGGGGGAGGCTTACTGTGCTTTGGGTGAGTGCTCTCTCTTGCTGGGCAGAGCGTCCTCTGGCCCTAGTCTTCCAGGGACATGGTAAGAATGAGTCTTAGGTTGCATGGGAGAATCAGAAGCTGCACGGATTGGAGCAAAGGTGCCAGATATCAAGATCATCTGCCTGGTGAACTTTGTTTTATGCATGAGCCTGCACTGAGTGTGATGAAGTGTCTGCCATGTGCACAGGAACTGAGAAATCCGTGCAAAAGTCCAAGGAAGCCCCACATGTGCCCAGCTCCCAGAAGTATTCATAGTGATAGGCAGTTATTGGCTCCTATTGACATTGCAATGCAGTAAGTGGAGCAGGGAGGAGTCCAGCTGTCAGCAGGACATGCATCAGCAGGGCAGCCAATGGGGGAAAATGCCTTGAAGCTCAGTATTGATTCATTTTATGCTTAGTTTGGCAACACAGATTTCCAAGGAGCATGGCCATGGTATGCCTGGCCTGATGATGGGTGCATCTTTCCACACCAGAGATGCATAAAAATGAGACCACGTGGCCTTCAAACCCAGCGCTTTTTGCTACCTCTTGTGACCTGAGAGCTTCCAGTCTTGAAGCTAAGTGCAGAAAAGTACATGGAGACTTAACATTCATCTCAGCCAATGGAGAGCTGCCCTTGGTCCCCCAGGGAGAAGACCTTGTCTTTGCCTTACAAGCATGGTCAGCAAGCCTCAATGGACTGAAGCTGAGCAAAACCCCTGACTCCATGACCTCCCTTGGCGAGCCTGTCCATCCTGGAGCCAGACTCCAAGGCTTTCCTCATCCTCATGGTCTGTCTGTGCTGAGGAAGATACACTGGATAGTCCAGGGAAACTACTCTCCATGGCAGGTTGTTGCCAAAGTGCTGTTTCTCTGGCATTGCAAAAGTCTGGCATGGTTGTGGCCAGGTTTTTGCGGGCGCTAGCTAGGCAACAGCAGCGGTATCTTGGTGGGGGGCTATAATGCAGCCCCAACAGCCACTCTTGGAGGCTTCAGGAGGCTTTGATTCTGCCATTTGAACTCTGTAACATAGACCTTTCAGAGGGGATTACAGTGGCAGGCACTGAGGATCATCTAGAAACAGCTATAGCTGGAGCTCAGCCTCCATGCAGCCCTGGTCTGCACTGTGATTCTACAGTCTCATTGCACAATTAAATAAAACAGTCATTGATATTTCTATGTGTCTCCCAGACCAGCAGCTAAATATCCTTCCCCTTCACTGCCCTTTATGCTTGCTGAGCACCGGACCTTCCTCCAGTGGGAGAAATGAGCCCCAGCCGGGTGCCTGCCTGTTCTGAATGCAGAGCTATGCAGACAAAGCTTCAGGTTGTTCTGCACTGGTGGAGCATGAGGTGGGTTCATGCAGATCTTACTTGGGTATCATGAATGCTTTTGCAATGATGCTCCAGTGTATGCACAGCGTGGGAGGAAGCCTTATTCTCGAAGGAATTAGCTCACAGACGTCTGGAAGAGCTGAAAGTAGACACAAGGCAGGAAGGATCTTCAAAGGTCTGGAGGATGACGGTGAGTGCTCCAACTGTCAGGGCTTTGCTAGCATAAGCTAATAAGAGAAGGGTGGGTTTCGATGTATTTCCCTGCCAGGCAGTGTCTTTCCACTAGACAAACTGGTGGTCTTTTTCCCTTCCCTGTGTCTTCAGGCCACCGTTTTGAAGATAACCCTGGTGTGAGAAGGCATCTGATGAAAAAACCATCTCGGAGTCAGATCACCAGGACAAGCAAAAAATTAGCATCAACTCCTTCTGTCAAAAAGAAGAAGAAGAAGAAAAAGTTGGATAGAAAGCCCCACGAGGTATCCATGTGCTGTCCTTCCACAATTGCCTGGGATTTATGGCCTTAAGCCATAAATCAGGGCATTTTAAGATATGATAAATGTTGTTTCAGTATAATTATTTACATTACCTTGGGGGTGACATTTCAAGCTCTTATCCATTATCACGAAAATACACTGTTTTCAATAAAAGCAGAGACTTCTCTGAAATCACAAAGCTTTGATCTTAGGAAAGATATTAAAAAGTCACAGAAATGGTAGTGCTACTGTAAAAGTTGGCAGCACAGTAATGTCGCCATCTCTGGTAAGTGTTGGGAATTTTGGGGGAAACCAACAAACAGGCAGAGGACAAAACGGTCACAGTTTGGTAGAAGGGGATGCGGCATGGCATCATTCTTTTTCCTCTGCCCAATGCATCTGACTTAGGAGCTTTCTGGTGTTCCATGTGCTAATGAGAGCTCCTGCTACACTGCCAAGAATATTTGTCCTGCCTGCTTCTGTTCGCTAAGCCTCTGGTTAAGTAAGGCAGGCTTGCTCAGGCAGCACTTTAGACTAAGTGGTACTTGAGAACAAACCTGAAGCTCCCCTATCGCTCATAGAGCTGCCTGCATCATGAAGTCTCATGTCCTCACTGTAATTCATACAGGTGTTTGTGGAGCTGAATGAGCTGGTGGTGGATAAGAACCAGGAGATGCACTGGAGGGAGACAGCCCGTTGGATCAAGTTTGAGGAGGATGTAGAGGAGGACACAGCAAGATGGGGGAAGCCCCACGTGGCTTCACTGTCCTTCCGCAGCCTGTTGGAGCTCAGGAAGACAATTGCCCATGGTGAGTCAGGAATGGCAGGCTAGAGTTTGTCTCTTGCTCTGGACAGGTTTTGCTGGACAGCTTCTGTCACTAACTGGAGACATGCCAATGGTGTCTGCGTCCAGGCTCCATGTAGAGTCTGTAAAGACAGACCATCCCGCACCCTTGTTGCCACGGTTTACATTAGCCCAAGGGTGCTGTGTCCTTGCTCTGCTTTGCTGCTCTCAGGCACATGGCAGCTCTAACACCCAGCTGTTCCTGGGCCAGCATATCTTTTACCTATTGTTGGTATGAAAAGGCAAGTTTGGTCAGTGGGAGACCAAAATGAGAGGGGCATACCAGAGCTATCAGTGCATCTTGGAGCTTTTGAGTTCTCTTGGAACAAGAGTTTACACAGAGGGCATGGGACACCTGGACTTGGGGCGTTTCTCAGCTGAGAGAATCTGTACCCCAACCGAAGTGTGGCTTCTGGGGGGACAGCTGTGTCCCACAGTGTGCATGTGTAGGGGAGCATTGCATGCTATGAGCAGGGCTCTTCCCCTCCTGCTGGCAGGTGCTGTCCTCCTTGACCTGGAGCAGACCACTCTGCCTGGCATTGCCCACCTCATGGTGGAGACCATGATCATCTCTGACCAGATCAGAGCAGAAGACAGAGCCAATGTGCTGCGTGCCCTGCTGCTGAAGCACAGGTGGGTGCCAGGGCTTGGGGACTACCTGCAAGCTCCAGGTGGCAAGGGCGGCGGGTCCCCTCATGGCCACCACTCTCCCTCTCAGCCACCCCAATGATGAGAAAGAGGGATTCTTCCCGAGGAACCACTCCAGCTCCAGCATGAACTCCATCGTGGGGAACCACCACCACAACCACACCGACACTTGTGTGCCCCTCATGGGGGAAGAGCGCATTGAGATGGCTGATCCCAAGGCCAGTGAGACAGAGTGCAAGGAGGTGAGGGTGACGTCAGGGGTTAGTGCTTCTTTTTCCACACCCTGGGAACAACTGTTGGCTGGTGGCAGCCCTTTGTGCCCGTATCTGAGCCCCCTTATGGTGGGTCTTGTACTTGCAAGGGCTGTGCTCCTCTGGATCACTGGAGCGCTGGAAGTCAGGTCGTTGCACGATGATTTCGGGGCCTAATTTTAGCCTCCCACTGTATGCAAATGCAATGGCAGCAACAGCCCTGGTGCTTGGAGAGTGGCCTTTGCTGTGAGGGTGCCTTGCCTGTGAAGCAGGGTGTTGGGCGTGCAGCCAAGGCAAGCCCAGCTGCAGATACACCAGTGGGACTGTGTAGGGGAGACCATGGCATGGGATGTCATCCTTACTTGTCTGTATTCTTCCCTGGCAGAAAACCCCACATCTCCATAACTCTGAGGGCCACCGTAAATACCTGAAGTTGATGGAAAAGATCCCTGAAGATGCAGAGGCCACAGTGGTCCTCGTGGGTAAGAGGTGACATGTAGAGTCTCCCAGCACCAAAAGAGTGCACCGCTAGGGCAGATCATGGTCTGGCCCTAGCTGTCTGTGCCCTTCTTCCTGAGGGGTATTTGGTCATCTTGTTGTACATGTTCTCAAAGTTCAGCTGGGAAGAGAGCCTTTTATGCTCTCTGCTTTGCTGATGGTGCACATTTTGTTTCTCTGTGGTAAATGCATGGGGTGCCTGGGTAGTTCTTTTCCTAAATTAAGAGGTTGATAGACACTGCTGCTGGGAGCTGGGGCGCAACTTAGAGGAGAAAGTCTTACAAAGCTCACCATAAGATCCTATTTTGCAGCTTAGAAGTGTCTAAGTGATGCCTGAGGGACTATTGGCCAGGCAGTGACTGCTGTCAGCCCTGCTACTGTTCTCTGGCCTTCACTGCCCTCCGTCTGGCCTTTTCACACCTCACCAGCAGCAGGGCCCTGCCCTGCCAGGGGCAGTGTTGGTTGCTGGCTGTGTGTGCCAGGGAGCTTTGAGTTTCTGGGAGCAGGGCCTGGCTGGTGGCAAGGTCTCAGGTATCAGACATAGTGATGCCAGGGGATATTTCTCTGTACAAAAGGGCTGTGAGTGGGCAGGCTCAAGCATCAGTGGGCTTGGTGCCTTGGACCACAAGAGTAGTCCTTCTCAGCCCTTCTCTGGCATTAACTTCTCAGCAAATGCAGATGCACTACAAGCAAAGTAAATGCCATCGCCTATACAGTAGATTAAAAGCTCAGGCAAAGAGGCTTGGCAGCTCAATCAAGCTGATGCTTAACCACAACGAGGCCAAATCAGCTTCATAAATGCACTTAGATAAGTAAACACTGGCCATTTCTGAGGTAAGGCTGTGTCTTGGGATTTGCTTGGCCACTAGGATGGCCCAGATTTGCCAGTCTGACACAGAACATGGCTCTTTGCTGGATGCAGATGGCAGAAAGATCAGTAATAATGTCAGAGAAATACAAGTATTCAAAAAACATTTGTGTTCGGCATGGGAAGGAAGCGGCTGGTGTGCCAGAGGATGCGAGAGTACTTCCCAATCTGTTAGGAACTGAGGAGACTGCCAAACATTGATGAAATGTGGACATTGTAAAACAAACTGCAGTTTGCACCTATGAGTCTAGAGAACTGGCTCATTTCCATCTAAGGAAAAAAAAATAATCTAGGAATACAGGGAACATACAGGAAAAACAGCAATAAGCTTATAGCATCAGTGCTCAAGAAAGGAAGGACCGCGATCCAGTGCCTGTAGGTTGTTTAACCCGACGTCCTTCCCAGGCAATACAATGGCAGAGCTAATATGGGATTCAATTAATAAAGAGCTAAAGAATAAGAATGTAATTATTACCAAGCAGTGAGGTTTATGGGAAATAGGTCATGTCAAGGAAACCTGATTTCATTATTTGATGAGATTAGAAGTTTGTTTGATGAAAGTAACGTCTAAGAGACTTCCTTCTATGAGGCAGTGGCCTTCTGATTTAAAATTAGACCCTTATAGTATAAGTAGAACCTATTTGTAAGAGATTAAGAATGGGATAACTGGGAAGCTAAAGAAGATAGCACTGCTTGGGAATGATCAATTAATAGGGGACTTGGAGCAGTCCTTGGAATGTGGTCATGGGGAAAACTGCTGTGTCAGTGGTCTGGAGAAAACAGGACTGCAGGGCTTGCGGGAACCCCCAAAACCCCTGCAGCCCACTACAGCTCACCCCAGTTATTGACTCTGCTCAAAACATTGCCTCCTGGTAGGTTGCGTGCAGTTCCTGGAGCAGCCAACTATGGCCTTTGTCCGACTAAATGAGGCCGTCTTCCTGGAATCTGTCCTGGAGGTCCCGATTCCTGTCAGATTCATCTTTGTGCTGCTGGGACCAAGCCAGGCCAACATGGACTACCATGAAATTGGCCGCTCAATCTCCACTCTTATGTCCGACAAGGTGAGGTGCTGATGGATAGTGATGCTGGCGCATAGGTGAAGGAGCTTCGATAGCTCCTCCGAAGTCAGTCCTGGGATGAGAGCTCTGAGAGATGCTATGCAAAGGCCCAGGTTGCGCAGGCAGAAGTGAGCACCTGGGATTTTTAACAGCAGCTGACCTTGACCAAGGTAGGATGCTGCAGTATGAAGGGAAGAGGAGGACAGACACTTGGCTGGGACAGAGAGTGTTAGGCTGGGTGAAGAAAGGGCTGTATGTAAAACCAAGAGTAAAGGACTGCCCAAGGTTAGAGGAGTTGTGTTCAATTGACGTTTCACAAACTTAGGAGAGGAGGGTGTGACCATGATGCCTGGCCCAGGCCACTCTGGCAAAAAGACCCAGCAATGCCTGGGGATTGTTGTCTGGTGTTTGCATGAAGGTTTCTAGCTGTCCTGTAGCTAGGGCATCCATGCAGAGGAGCACATTCATGCAGGAGGAGAGATGAGAACGCAGGAAGGCTTTTCTGTGAAGTGTGTGGACTGCTAGAAGTCCCCCATCTAGCTAGATGGCAGGAAAGTGAAATTAATTATCCTGGTAAGGAATTAAAGGCAAAGAAAAGACAATCAGCATCTGCTGTATTCATCCAGGACAGGAAAATCAGAGGTTCACAGGGTTCTCCTTGCTTAGTGCCACGTAACTATAACCAAGTAAAATGCCTGCCTGTTCTCTCACCAGTGCCCAGCTCTTCCTGAAGTGAGGACAAAAAAGTCCAATCAGAGCAGGTGGACTGCAGGCAACAGGGCTCTTGGCTGAAAGATCCTTTCCCAGGAGTTACACAGGGCTTAGCTCAGACTATGGTTGTAGCCAGAAGACATGAGTTGCCATATTTCAGCTTCAGCGCTGCGTTTGAGGGCTGATCTCACTCATTTGAGCCTCTGCTCCTCTGTTGCTGGAAGAGGAGAGCCAGCTGCCGCAGCCAGGGCTGGCCGTAGCAAGGTTACGCAGTGGCTGGCGCCATGAAGAGAGTATGATATCATTTACAATTTGAAGCTGTGGCTCCAGGGAGTCTGTGCTGCAGGGACCTTAGCTGTCCCCTACCTGCTTTACAGGCTGTTCACTTGTTCATCTTCCTCCAGCCCCTTCTCTGCAGGCACGTTCTGGAGGCAATGCAGCACTTCTGCCCATTTGCCAGCACCTCCCTTCCAATCTGCTGTCTCCTCATGGTCTCCTTGGAGTACTTTGTTGTCATCTTGGCCTTGCTGTTAGGCTATCTCCCCTTTTATGCTGGGTTTCCCTTGCATGGCTTCCCTCATGCTGTAGGCTTCTATTTTCCCTCCCTCTCCCATGTGGAGACTCCCAAGAGTCTCTTATTCTCCCTGCTCAGCTCCTGGTTCTTGTGCTTTATTTTGTGGTGCTTTAGGACTCCACCAGCTTCTCCCTCAAAACAAACCCAACACCAGACTGGGAGGATGTCATTCTATTGCAAAGTTCTAATTTTGACCTGCAGGGGCAGGAAACGACTTTCATTTCTGTTGCGCCTGGCTTCTGGTACATGTCTGAGTTGGGCTCCGAATGAGAGCCCTGCAGGACTGAGCAATGGCATGCAGAACTTGTAAAGATCTTGGCCTGATGCAGCCACAGTAATTTGTTGTGAACAGAGGCACGGGCTGGCCAGCTGTGGTTTCTGGCCTAGGGAATAAGTGGCACGAGGCTATACCTGGGAAGCACAGATCTGATTTTGATTGATGGAGAGGTCCAATGAGAGACGCCCTGTGGTCTGGCAGAGCGTGCAGCTGGCAGAGATGCTGCAGAAGCATTCAAGAGCAGTGGAGCACTGGGGAGAAAAGCAGAAGCAAGGAGTTTCTCTGGAAAAGATGGATAGGGAAGGGAGGAAAGACATGGGATTCCGTGAGGGGCATTGGATAGAAAGATGTGGAGGAGGGATTCAGGAATGTGGGTCACAGAGTGGCAGTAGTGAGTAAAGTGTTTGGTTGAGGGAGCAGGATGTTACTGTATGATCTCAGCAAGCATTCCCAGGCTGCAGGTAGATGGGTGCAGTCTTGGTCTGAGCCTTCTCCCTCTCTCTTTTTCCCTACTTCTCCCAGCACTTCCACGAGGCTGCATACATGGCAGATGACCGTCAAGACCTCCTCAATGCAATCAATGAGTTTTTGGACTGCAGCATTGTCATCCCCCCATCCGAGGTGGAGGGGAAAGACTTGCTCAAATCAATTGCCACCTTCCAGAAGTTGCTGCTGATGAAGAGGAAGGAGAGGGAGCAGAAGTCCATGAAGGAGGGGGCTGTCCAGGAAGCCAAAGGTCTCTCCACTCACATTTGGGCAAAAGAGTTTGTGCCTAGTGCCCTGCGTGCCCCAGTGGGCCCTCCCCTCACAGAGCCTGGCAGAGGGGTGAGCGGGTCTGGCTCCTGCAGTGGGCAGGGGGGAGGGGGGCAAAGGGATGTAGAACAGTGGCTGTGGGCAGCTCTGGCAGTTGGAGGCATCTGGAGGCTGGGATGTGCAGCTGCAGGGGGTCAGCACTGCGGGAGGAAGGTCTCCACGGGGCATGGGGCAGAGGGACAGCCGAAGCACAGAGCTGCATTCTCCTCCTCAAGCCCTACCCTCCATGTATCTCCAGAGCTGTGTGAAGTGAAAGCTGAGGAAGAAGAGGAGGAAGCTGAGGACGACCCTTTGAAGCGGACTGGAATATTTTTTGGAGGTCTGGTTCGGGACATAAAGCGCAGGTACCCCAAATACCTCAGTGACATCAGAGACGCCTTGCACAGCCAGTGTCTCGCAGCCGTTCTCTTCATCTACTTTGCTGCTCTCTCTCCTGCCATCACCTTCGGGGGACTCCTAGGTAATGGGCCTGCTTTCTGGTCTGCTCTTTGCACGCTGGGACACTGGCTGTGTCTGTGTGATGCTGTGCTGGGGTGGGCTTCAGTGCTGCTTGCTCTGGGAGAGCAGCAGTGCTGTGCCTCAGCTGCTGCCTTGCCCCCTCACTGCCACTTGGCCTCTCCAGCCTCGGCTCCCCAGGCTCCCTCTGTGCTCCCTGCCCAATGCAGGGGACCTCTGACTGATGGGACGGAGGCCTGCCTCCTCTCTCTGGAGCTGTGTCTGCAGCCTGCCTGCCTGTGGTGACAGTGGTTTTGTCCAGGCTTTAACACTCACATGTTTTTTTCTTTCCCAGGGGAGAAAACTGAAGGTCTCATGGGGGTTTCTGAGCTGATAATCTCCACCTCGGTTTTAGGGATACTCTTCTCCCTGCTTGGAGCTCAACCGCTCCTGGTCATTGGCTTCTCAGGGCCTCTGCTGGTGTTTGAAGAAGCTTTTTACAAGGTACATGTGAGGCAGTGTCTCTGCTTGGCACTTGCTTGCTCTGCCCTTGTGTTGGAGAGAGCAGCAGGCATTTCTCAGCTCTTTAAAGGGTCTTTGGTGGTGTGGACTCCTTGGGTCCTTTCAGGATGCCCTCACCTCAGTCAGGGCTGGTTCTGGCTCTGCTAACCCTTTGCATGTCACACCACAGGGGCTTGTTGCTGTATTCTGTGCTCTGACCCTCTTGAGGTGTAACAGTGGTAACAACACTCCTCTACTGCTGTGAAGGGAGCATCAGTCACCCTGCCCTGTGCTGCAGTCTATCCTGGCACAATGCTGCATCCTAAAATACTGGTCTATAATACGGTAGTATTGTTGGTGCTTCCTTTATTGATGATCGTTTCACAACCTCTACCCATGTACAGAGATAACCTAGCCAGCCAGGATGGACATGTTTCTTTTTCAAGTAGCATAACCTCTTCACAGTTAAAAGGATGTCTGTGTCACCATACTAACAAGCAGTGGGTCTAATCCTTCTCCTTTTTTTCTGATGGTGATGCTTGATACCCAAGCATGCTAGGGCATGCTTGGGCTTTTAACGTGTTTTTTTTCCTACAGCTATATTTTCACCTAGATGTGTCAAGAGTTTGGAGCTGGTGATGCCATTGCAGTGGGAATTTTTCTGCTCTCCTGTGACTGCACTTCTCACTGACTGCTTTTGCTTTGCCCAGCCATTGTGTACAATGGTGTACCTCTGCCCTGTGGGAGGGCACTGTCTGTAGTGGTACTAGGAGGGCTGCAAAGGAAGGGATGTGATTTGTGCTGGAAGTAGTGGAAGTAGTTGGTGTTGCTATGGGTGGATGAGCAGAGGCAGTGGAGATGTTCTGTTCTGTGGTGACAGCTTGGGGGCTTTTCTCCTGTATGTGTAAAAAGGGCACCATCTGGGATCATGCACCAGCTAACATGGCCTTTACGCAGTGGGACCAGCAGGCTGCTCAGGCTCTCCTTTGTGGGGAACAGTCTTTTGCTTTTGAGTGCATAGAGCAGTGGAGAACTGTGTTTGAGTAATGGCATCTCCATATGGGTGACATGGGGAGCATCATGCATGGGATGGCTTCAGCAGAGAGTGAAGGAGGTACTGTTACAAAGACTGGAGCAGTAAAGCCCTGCTTGGTGTGATCTGGCCGGTGTTAATGCAAAGTCTGCAACTTTATGTGTGACTCCAGCCCTGAGTTCACTGTCTCTGTGCTGGGTGTCCAAGCAGATGTAGATGTTTTTATCAGGAGAATCTTTGAACTTAATGGGGAGCAGATGTAGGAGGCAGCCTAAGGAGCCATGAGTAACTCCTTCCCCTTTCCATTTCAGTTCTGCCAGACACAAGGCATTGAGTATCTGACAGGCAGAGTGTGGATTGGTTTGTGGCTCATCGTCTTCATCTTCATTATTGTGGCAGCTGAGGGAAGCTTCTTGGTGCGCTACATCTCGCCCTTCACCCAGGAGATCTTTGCTTTCCTCATCTCCCTCATCTTTATCTACGAGACCTTCTACAAACTGTACAAGGTGAACCTTCCCCAGAGAGATGAGCTGCTGCGTCTCTCCATTCCCCAGGAACCTGCTGCTTTAGTGTATAGGAAGTAGGGGGAAAGGGCCAGCTCTGCCACAGCTTTCCTAGACATTCTGCAGAGCAGATCGTTTTTGTCCTCTCATGCCCCAGCCCAGCTGGCCCCTGTGTCACCACAGAGACTGGCAGGATGAGCCCTAATGTCTGTCTCCCCTTCTTTTCCTGCAGGAGGCATTAAAGAGGGGCCACTTTTCTCTCCCCAGCCCTCTCCAGCTGGGTAGGTTGCGAGGCAAGGTGACAGATGTTGGGATTGTTTGCACCCACCATCTATTGCTCTCACCTCTCCACAGAGCAGGACATCTCTGCTTCCCCTTGCCCCCAGTAGTGACAATGCCACCTGCCCCTCCTTGTGGTGACAGCACCTGCTGCTTCTCTCACCTGCCCAGGTGTTTGCAGAACATCCTCTGCTGAAATTCTACCCACCGAATGTGCAGAGTGGCCTGAATGCCAGCATGCTCTCTGCGGATGCGATGTCACTGGGAATCAGGATGCAGCCCAACACTGCTCTCCTCTCCCTCATCCTCATGCTAGGCACCTTCTTCATTGCCTTCTTTATGCGCAAGTTCAAGAACAGCCGTTTCTTAGGAGGAAAGGTGAGAAGGGTGTGGGACCCAGATGTTAAGGACAAGGGATGTGCCCAACAAATAATGTTTCTTGCTACAGACCTTTGTTCCTCAGAGCATTTGGACCATCCCCTAAATAAACACTAGCAATCCCTTAAATACCCTGCAGAAGCCTGCCATAGGCTCCAGACCAGAGCTGGCACTTGGTGATGGTATCTGCATTGTTCTGCTCCAGTGAGATTTGCCGAGTGACGTTTGCTGCAAAGTCCTCTGGACCTTGGGAAAGCTTTAGCTGGATACAAGTCTGTTAAACTAGAATATAGGAGGAAGAGCTTACAGCTTGTTCATTTGGGATATACAAGGCTTGTGTAACACCTGGAGCACCATCCAAATAGGCTCATAGGAGCAATTAGTCATTTATGAGTGGCTGGAGGACTGTGTTATGTGAGCATTGGGATGTGCAGCCGTATGGGTCAAGGCTGAGGTCACTTACCCTGGTCAGCAGCAGTGCTCAGGTTTGCAGTGGTGCTTCGCCCCATCTGGGGCTTTGCTTTCCTGCACGCTTCGTGTAGCAGGGTGGATGGACATAGCTGGCCCGTTCCCTTTGCCAACGAGGGTGTTTGTTCTGCAGGCTCGGCGAATCATCGGAGACTTCGGGATCCCCATCTCCATACTGGTCATGGTGCTGGTGGATTACACCATCACTGACACATACACGCAGGTATGGTACATGCAGGAGGCACCAGCACCACCCTTAGAACCCCTCCTGCATCCCAGCAGTGATCCCTGAGACACTATGGCCTGCTCTTGTGCAACAGGAGCTTCGTATTTCCTGCCTCTTTGTTCATAACATGTTCTAGCATATTTATGCTCTTCTTGACTATAGGCTGCTAAATATTTTGATCACTTTGCCTCAAATACAATGATCTTTTTTCCCAGTTTATGCACAAACTGAAATGTTATCAGACAGACCCACATTACAGGTTTTCTTTCTCCCCCCTTTTTTAGTAGATGTGTAATCATGTATTTTTGGTTTGTTATTTTTTTCAGCTGACATTGGGCAGAGGGTGAAAGGTAGTTTCTATTCAGCATGCAAGCTTTTTTTCCAGACAGCCCAAGGCTTAACTGAATCCAAATGCATTTCTATTCATTTAAATTTCAATGAAAAATCTGGCTTTATCAGATGTTAGTAAAATCATGCACTTTGTTACATTCTTTTCATACCCTTCTTCTAGACTTCTACAGTTAATATCAAAAGCATTATCAGTTCAGTGTTAACTCAGCATATGTACAAAGCTTTCTGAGAAAATGGCACTTAGTTACACAGCTTAGCTCAAGTACAAGCATTCCAGAAATATTATTCATACTTATGCTGATTAACATAAATGCAAATCATAAACTCTCCCTGGAGTGCTCATACAGGCAGATAGCAAGAACTGCCATAGAGCATTGCAGAGCTGAAAGTTCAAATGCTGGTGAGCGCAGGGTCGGGGTGATATACAGCTAGGGAGCTGCGTGGTCTCTGGTAGGAGCACAGGCATGTTAGTCCCTCTGAATGTGATCAGAGTAGGGTCATTTCCAGAGAATGTGGCCACTCCTGGGGCTCGCGTTGCAAAAACTATACTGAAAAATGTCTCGGAAAAAGCTTGGAAAGTCTGAAAAGGCACCTCAGAGAAGGGCAGGCAAGTTCAGGACACTTGATTTGTGCAAGCAGAGGTCAAGGAGTGTTTTACTCTGTTCTGCAACCACTGACATGGGAGTGCTATTCCTGAGGGAAGATACTTCCTTGGCCTCTTGGACAAAACTGAAGGGAATTCCAATAGCGGAAAGGAAATGAGACAGGCCTATGTTAGGGCACATGGAATTTTTTCACTGAAGGGGATTATCCATGAGAAAGTCTTGCTCGGGTCAGGGTGTTTGTCCTGTCATCTGAGGCATTCAGACCAGGAAGACCAGGAGGATCAAGGCTATCCTGTGTGAAGCTGTGGGCATGTGTCTATTGATGACTAACTGCTGGGTTTTGTGGCTACACCTCCAGAAGTTGAATGTCCCCTCTGGCCTGTCAGTCACATCTCCTCACAAGCGTGGCTGGTTCATTCACCCCATGGGCAGCAGCGGGACCTTTCCAGTGTGGATGATGTTTGCCTCTGCCATCCCGGCCCTCCTGGTCTTCATTCTTATCTTCATGGAGACACAGATCACTACGTGAGTACCTCCCCACCAGTGCCTATCATCACTAACCCAAGGGTAGGTTAGGCTGGGATGAGTGCTGGTGTGGTTCATGTGGTGATGTGCCTGTCATTCCAGTGGGACAACATGGGCAGGATTCTGGCCATTTCATAGAATCATAGACTGGTTATGGTTGAAAAGGATCATCTGGTTAGGGTTGGATAAGATCATCTAGCTCCAACTCCCCTGATGTGGTCAGGGACACCTCACACTAGACCATGTTGCCCAAAGGCTCTGTCCAGCCTGGCCTTGAACACTGCCAGGGATGGAGCATTTACCACTTTTTTGGGCAACCTGTTCCAGTGCCTCACCACCCTCAGTAAAGAGCTGCTTCTTTGTATTTTACCTGAACTTCCCCTGTTTAAATTTAAACCCATTATCCCTTGTCCTGTCTTTACAGTCCTTGATGAATAGTCCCTCCCCAACATCCTTACAGCCCTCCTTCAGATACTGGAAGGCTGCTATGAGGTCTCCACGCAGCCTTCTCTTCTCCAGGCTGAACAGCCCCAACTTTCTCAGCCTGTCTTCATACGGGAGGTGCTCCAGTCCCCTGATCATCCTTGTAGCCTCCTCTGGACTTGTTCCAACAGGTCTGTCCTTATATTGAGGACACCAGAGCTGTACCTTCTTGGGTTCTGCCAACATGTCCTGGCTCCCCTCCTGTCGTAGTGTGGTGGGGATGCACCTTAGCCAAGTGCAGGAGGAAACCTCTAACCTGAGGTTGACAGCCACCATCTCTCTCCTCAGCCATCTACTTCTTGTCCCCATGTTGTGTGCTCTCTCCAGGGAGTGAATGTGCTGTTCCTGAGCACTGGGCTGAGCCTGGCACTGACCTGAGCTCTTCTTCCTTCCAGGCTGATTGTTAGCAAGAAGGAGAGGAAGCTGCTGAAAGGCTCTGGCTTCCACCTAGACCTGCTGCTTATTGGCACTATGGGGGGACTTTGCGCGCTCTTTGGGCTGCCTTGGCTGACTGCGGCGACAGTGCGCTCTGTCACCCACGTCAATGCCCTGACGGTCATGAGCAAGGCCATTGCACCAGGAGAGAAGCCCAAGATTGAGGAGGTGAAGGAGCAGCGTGTGACTGGAGTGCTTATTGCTGCTCTTGTCGGTGAGCCTCTGCTCGGGTGAAGGAGGGGGGAGGTCAGGGGTGACCACTCCTGGCAGTATCCCTGCCCCATAGGCCGGTCTGCGTTCTGCCTGCTTGCTGTAGGACAGCCCCTACCTTCACGGAGCTCTCCTCTGGTAGCCTTCGGTCCCCTGCCATGGTCAGGACCCTTCTGCAACCCTTCAACCCTTCCATCTAGACCCCTCTTGAACTTCCTTTCCCTTGCACCCTAGGACACAGATGAGGTGGGAGAGGGACGGAACCTGAGGTGCCTTGCAGAGGGGCTGGCATGGGACACACCATGTCCTGATCTCTGTCTGTGCAGGTCTGTCCATTGTGATGGGGAACATGCTGCGGCAGATCCCACTGGCCGTGCTCTTCGGCATCTTCCTGTACATGGGGGTTACATCGCTCACTGGCATCCAGCTCTATGAGCGGCTGCTCCTGATCTTCATGCCATCCAAGCACCACCCTGACCACATCTATGTTGTCAAGGTGAGCAAAAGCAGGTTGTGGGGAACCAGGTAACAAGGAGCAGAGGAAGAAGAGGCAGGTGAGGGGAGAATGGTGCTTTGCTAGATTGATGCTTGGCTTGGTGACCCCGCCTTGGCTGCAAGCTTGTGCCGAGAAGTAAGTCCAAGCCATGCGTAGAGGTGGTACATCTCTAGGATAGTGTGCTAATAGGCTGCACAGGAGTGTCTTGCCAGGATACTGTAAGGTGGACTGTCTATGGGAGTGATGTATTGCTTGAGTGAATGTAGGGACACTGCACTGCTAGGCTGCACAGAGGCTGATGTGTTCTGTCTTGTTGCAGAGTACAGGCAGGTAATGTGCAGCAGTGTTACATTACTGTACTATGCTATGCAGCAGGGTTATGTCTTGCTGGTTGGTTCTTCATTAATCTGTGTGGAAGGATAATGTGTTCTTAGTCTGGATTTACCTCCCTAGGTGAAGACCTGGAGAATGAATCTCTTCACCTGCATTCAACTGGCCTGCATTGTGCTGCTCTGGGTGGTGAAATCTACAGTGGCATCCCTGGCCTTCCCCTTTGTCCTGATCATGACAGTGCCATTGCGACGCTTTGTGCTGCCCCACTTCTTCCACGACAGGGAGCTCAAAGCGGTAAGCAGATAACTGTCTTAACAGTATTGCTTGCAAGACTGGAGTGAGGTTGAGATTTGGCAGACTGAAAGGCTTGGAGATCCTGGGCCAGCAAAGCCTTGGCTTTTCCTGCTCTTGTCTGGGGGTCTTTGTTCAATAGCAGTAGGTGGGTGGATGGCTTCCTTAGAGCTTGAGAGAGCACTAGAGAGTGCAGTGTGGGATGGATGAGCAACCTAGAGCAATGAGACAGAGGATCCTACCACACAAAGGCCTGGAATAAGGGTTTCCCCTTCCATCCTCCTCCCCATTTGTGGCTTATTCATCAAGAGACAACCTATTTCCCCACTGAGACAGCAGCAAGGACAGCCCAGCAGCACACCAGAGCCTGTGGCTGCTTGGTGCAGGAGCATGTAACCACAAAGCCAGGCTGCTGGCAGCTCTTTGAGTGCTGCCAGTATCCTGAGCTCCTGTTGGAAAGCAGCCTGGAGCAGCACCTAGAAGTGGGTGCTGCCAGCAGGGGAGGAGCTGCTGGTCTGGACCAAAGCCCCAGTGACAGGGCACTGTCAAACAAACACTCCGGGAAGGGACATCAGGTTGGGGACACATGGATGGGCACAAAAAGGAGACTGCTGGGAGGGGAAGGAGTAAGAGCTTTGCTCTTCCCAGCACAGCCCAGCTGCCTGGCTTGCTGGTCCCTCGATGCCAGGCTTGATCCTGCACTAGGGGCAGCTTCAGAACCCAGTCTCTTCCTCTCCCCAGCTGGACTCAGAAGATGCAGAGCCAAACTTTGACGAGGACGGCCGGGATGAGTACAACGAGCTGCACATGCCTGTGTGAGCTGAGAGCTGCCCTCTCCACTCATGAGACAGGCTGCTCACGCCTGCTCATCCCTCTCAAGGACTAACTGGAGACTTGCTGTGAGTCATGCGATCTCTTGCCTGAACCAACAAATGGCTGTCCTATAGCCCCACAGGAGGCAGCCCTGACTCCTGCTGCCCCATCGCTTACTCAGCAGAGGCTGTGAGTCTCTCTCCTCTTGGACCTGGTGGGCTGAGAGATGCCTCTCACATCACAGAACTGTGTGGGTCCTGAGTGCCCATGGGTCATGGCTCTGCCCCCTCCTCGCTGGAGGCAGCCTGTGCCTGATCTCCTGGTGGTGAAGGGGAGCCATGCCAGCTGTGCCACTGTGTCCCTCTCCACTACCATGAAGCTTGGGTGTCTCAGCACCTTGTGCCACTGAGCAGTCACAGAGATGGGCTGGATGCTACCTGCAGACGGCCAATGGGCTTCTCCTAGGCCAGCAGCCTCCTTGCTCAACTGGCAGATGCCTTGCTCCTGCTCCCTTTCCTCCTTCCAGGAGAGCTCATGCTGAGCCTGTGCCACAGACCCTGGCCCATGAGGCTTCTGCAGCCTGGCAGATGGGCAGGAAGGGACCAGTACCCTGGTCCTGTCCTCCAGACCAGCATCCGTCCAGTCATGATCCCAGAGGACTGTTTTCAGCTCTTGCTTGGCAGGGGGGAGGCTGTTTGATTCCTCCTGATTTTCCCAACCCTTTCCACAAGAAAACTGCAGAGGAAGGGGAGGCTGGTAACAAGCAGGTATCCTGAAGCCTCGAGTGCCTGTCCTCTTGCAGGGGTTAAGAGGAGTCCTGTGCCGTTCTGCACCTCCATACAGGTTGCAGGGGTAAAAATTAATCACTGGGCTGCATCCCAGTTCCTGATTCCCACGTTCTTGCCCCTGAGAGCAAACCATATTTAAGAAGCTGTACAAGAGATATCGTGCTGGAGTGCAAAACAGTCCTTTGGGTGTCCTCCCTTTCCCTGTGCAGTGATCCACTGGGTCTGGCTCTCTGCAGTCCTATGAGGAAGTCACTGAAACCTCCAGCTCACATTCTGCTGCCATACCAGCGTCCTGTGTGACCTTTAGTGCCCAGGGGTGCCTTCCAGGTAGGAAGGAGCAGCATTCAGCATGCCCAGCACTCAGCCCCATTCACTTCTGGGCAGTTCCAAACACCTTTCCACCTGGCAGAGCTGTCCCCTGGGGTCTCCCCTAACTCAGAGCTGCCCCAAGAACTGATGATGGTCGCTGGCCCCATTGGCTCTGAGGGTAGTGCCAGAGGAGAAGGCCCTCTCAGCCTCTCCCTGATGGTTGGAGCCAGAGTGGCCTTCTGGAAGAGGCTGGGATGCTCACTTTACTATTGCATCTGGGACAAGCTGCTGCTCCAGTTCCTATTTATCAGCCTGGCTTCTTCCAGAGGTGGTGGATGCTTCAGCACTGGGAGGGTTCAATGCCTTTCCAGGAGGCTCCAGAAATATCCCACCGGAGAGAGAAACCTCCCCCTGCAGCAGGTTCCTGCCCCACAACCTGGCCCCTTCACAGGGTCTGGGGTGGAGAGGCAAGTGTCTCCATGTGTCTGTGGCCATGTGTGTCCTGTCCTCACTGTGTAGTGTAGGAGGCCTGTTGTCGCTGTGCATTGTGACTCCTCTGACTGTAGTGGAAACAGCTACACCAATAAACTCTTCACAGGAATCGTGCCTGGCTCCGCTTCTGTTTGTTCATTTACAATATATTAAATTGATTGAAACTTCATGACACAAAAGAGCAGTCTTGCCCACACCAACAAGGCCCAGCTGGAGAGGGGACTGTCCCTTGCCACCCACTACCAGCACAGAGGTAGGCTCTCCGCCACCATCATCAACCAGGCTAGTGATGTGGGCTCAGCTGGAGGCCCCATGCTGGATGGTGGAAGCGGGAGGCTGAGCCCTGTATTTAACCAGAAACGTGTAACATGCCTGCTTGCATCCATTCACATATGCATGTGTGTGCCTGTGTGCTGAGCAGCATTTGGTGCCCATCTCCTTATCTAGCCTGTAGCTACGCACCAAACAGCAGGGCTATGGGCTGAGCATGGAGGAAACATCTCATTTAAACACCCATTCCCTCCATTTTCTTCCCAGGCAGGAGCCAAGCCAGGTTCTCATGAGCTGCTGGCTACCTGCAGCCCATGTGGTAATGGGTTGGGTGCCCCTCAGTTGAGCTCTTCTGAGTGCTGCTGCTGGGAGTAGGAGGTGGTACCACCTCCTGTGATCACAGTCACTGTCTGCTCCTGGGGCTGGCCACTGCCATGGGGCTCTTGTCAGAAGGCTGAGCCCGCCTGGACACAAGGGTGGTGGCCATCTCATTTCTGAGCTGGGCCCGCCGGGGGTTGGGTAGTACCTGGCCTCGCAGCATCCTCTCCAGATCCTGGCAGTGCTGCTGAACCTGTGGGAGAGGAGGCAGTGCTGTCCAGCCTTTTCCATGTAGCTCTCCTGCCCATGGCAGTGCCCCCAACTCATCCGGGGATGCAGGGCAGGAAGCACAAGCAGATCCATTGTGAACTCCTTACCTCATTAATCCTCCGGATGAGAATGGGCCTGACCTCCAGCTCCAGAAGCCAGTCAGCCTCCAGGATGCTGTGGTGGTACTCCTCCAGCTCCAGGTTCTTCTGCAGCTCCTCAGCCACGGCAGCCTTGTGACCTCTCGTATGCTGGCTCTGCTGGGGCCGGGACCGCCCTCTCGCCTTGCCCCGCTGCTGCTGCAGGCGCAGGACACCCATGCGCTGGGTGACATGGCGGACCTGGGCACGCAGGGCAGGTGCCCGGCCCCTGCAGTGCAGCAGGGCCAGCAGCTCCTCCTGGCTCTCCCGCAGCCGGGCTTGCAGCACCCCGGTGCTGTTGCCTGCCCCCCCCACAACCCCTGGGACCAAGAGGTTGGGCAAGCCCCCCAAGTGGTGGGGAACCCTGCTGCGCAGTGGGGGCTGCATGCTGCTGGGAGCCAGCCCTCCTCTGCCTGGCACTGGTGGCTGCTGTGGCGGTGATAGTGATGGGGATGGTGGCAGGGAGAGGCTGTACCTGCTGCGGTGGAGATGGACCCACTGCTGGGCAAGTTCCGCTGTGGCCAAGCTCTGGTGAAAGACATCGGGGACCAGCCGCAGGACTTTCACAAAGGGCCCCACACCATCAAAGCCACGCAGGTCACGCAGGCTGTGGGGGCTGAAGACCTGCTCAGTGAGGGGCCCACCCTGTAGCAGCAACCCCCAGTTACGCCGGTGGGTGAAGAGCAGTGTGGCCAGGCACGGGATGGATACAGGCCAGGCAGCTGGCTCCTCATGCATGTACAAGTTCTCACAGAGTGGGACCACCACTCTGGCATCAAACCTCTGCTTCAGCATGCTCAGGTGGTGCAGGTAGGAGGCCAGCCAGCTCACGTAGTTGGCCACGTCTGAGCTGGCTGTGCCAGGCTGGCCCTGGGCAAGCTTCTGCAGGTGGTGCCAGCTCTCCACCTGCCCTGATGGGCTCCGCTGCAGCACCACCAGCAGCACGTGGTACAGGCTGCGCAGGTCGAAGCCCTGCTGACACTGCTGTACATGCCTCATGAAGGCGCTGATCTCTTCTTCAAGGGCAGAGTAGAGGGCTTCCATGGGCCCTGGAGAAGAGGCAGCCAGGATCATAGCTCATCCACACAGTCCTAGGCCCTGATGGACTGGAAAACACGCCGCACCAGTATGCAATGCATGGGCTGGAGTAGGCAGGATCGCTGCAGAGGCTTTCATCTGGGTCACAGCATGGGCTCAGTCAGCAGCCAGTGCAACCAAAGGCTGGCATGGTGCTTCAAAGGATGGCACACCTGGCCAGCTCAGATGAGTTGGTCCCTGTTGCTCTGCTGAAGAGGAAGGAGACAGTGGGTGGGTGGGGAGGAGGGCAACAGGGACAGGCTGGGGCAGAAAGAGTGAGGGAGCTGCACGGGGTGAGCTCCGTGGGGTACACCCACTTTTGTGGCACCAGATGAGGAGGGAGTCGCTGCTGGGTGCTGCCACAACAGGGGCACACTGGGCCACAAAATGCTGGTGCAGTGTTTGGAGAGCAGCAGAGAGTCTGCCTGTAGCCCCAGGGGATGCTGCTGTGGGAGTGGGGAGAACACTCTAGATGCCCACAGCCCCCAGCTACCCTGAGGGTGTTCTGGGATGCAATATATGTCCTCCTACTTCCTGGAAGGGGACTAGTTGTGCCAGACCAGGGCTGCGTGCTGACCGGCAGTTTCTCCCACCTCTACGTTGTTTGAGAATAAGTTTATCATTACAAAAGTAAGCAGACACCCTCGCCTGCCTGGAGAACTAAAAATAGGTCTGTTCCCAAAACTGTGAACTCCATCATTTTAAACCGTTGAGTGTTTAGGCAAACTACATGGGTTTCTGTTTCTGCCACTCAGGTTCAAGTACACTCAAGCTATCTGCTCCAGTTATTTTTGTTTTCCACAGCCAGGAGGGGCTGGCACATCTCTGTTGTAAGATGCCACTGGCACCCCTTCACACAGCTGTGTGGCTGGGAAGTTAAGGGAATTGCTGGCTAAGACCATCTCCATGACAAAACTGGGAACCAATGCCAGTGGCAAAGTTTCCCCTCTCCCTTGTATATCAGTTAAGTCCTTGCCTGGGCTTTGGTGTCTGCTTTTCAAGCACTCAAAATGCATTAAGATAAATGTAAAAATCCTCTTTCCTTTTCCCCATGAGGAAGGGTTTGTGAACCCTGTCCCAGGCAGGGGGGTGTTAGGTAAAATGGCAGAAGATGTCAGCACAGCGTGCAATGCAGGCTGCCAGAACAGCTTTGGTTGCATTCACCTTCCCCAACAAGTGCCTGCAAGTGAGTTTAAATGAGTTGCACCAGTTTGAGGAGAGCAGAGCTGATGCTGCATATGAAACCCCAGAGACCAGCTAAACAGCACCCCAGTCCACGGGTGTCAGGGTCCGGCTCACTGCTGCAGGTGCTGAGGGCTGAAGACCGCCAGTAAGTACCGCCCATCACTGGTGACCTGAACATCCCTGCTGTGGCCCCAGCCCCACGCTCTCTGCCCCCTCGTGCCCTCCATCCACCTCCCCTCTGTGTCACTCAAAAGAAGGGACTTACCAGCCCCAGGTGAGGCACTGGGGAGAGGAGAAAGGGCTGAGCTGGGCCCTGCTGCCTGCCAGGGGAGGGATCTGCCCTCCTTGGGCACCGACACAAGCATCCTCCCCATGGCAACGGCAGGTTTGGACATGTCCCTCATGCTGGAGCCAGCCTTTCCCAGATCCAGTTGCCAACCCCACGGGCATTGCCTTGAAGCTACAGGGCAGAGATGCAGCTCTCTCCAGCCCCTCCCTCTTGCACAGGTCTTTGCAAAGGACTTTTCTCTTGCAGGGATGCCTGAATCCTTGGCACAGGCTTGGACAGTGCATTTCTGTGATACAAGTGAGTGCTCCTGTGCACAGCCCTGAATTTGTCCCAAAGGCTTGTCTGGCCTTGGCAAGAGAGAATCTCCTTAGCCTTGGGCAGTCCACTGCCTGCCTTGTGTCCCTGCTCTGTCCCTCTCAGTACATCATCTCTGCAGGGCTCCTCAGCCCTCCAGCTGGCTGAGGTGCCTGTGCTGGGAGTGCTCTGCAGTGGGACTCTAAGGAGCATGCTGGTCTCTCAAGGGAGTGAGAAGGAAATGGGAGCAAATCCTATGTTAGACACAATCTTGACAGGCACTGAGGTCTGCCCCCATTCTGCTTCCTCTACGTGGCTGCCCATGGGAGCAGGAGCCTTGCCCATGGTCACAGAGCTGGCCAGGGCTGTGCCCAGCCCTCCAGTCCAGGACCCCATGGGGAGGGAGACAGGGGCCCCTGGGAGTGATTCAATGAGGATAGTGCTGGCACACTTATGTGCCTGTTCGAGGTTTCCCTGTCCGGGTGCATGCTTTTGGCTGAGGTGGACTTCCCACAAGCCTGTGTGTCTTGCTGTGCAGAGGTGCCTCACATGAGCTCCCCTGTGGAGAGGGGCAATGCAGCTGTAAGGTCAGAACAGGGAAAACTCAGCCTGAGGTCTCAAATGCAGCTGCCAAAGCTTCTTCCCTGCAAGGAGCAGCAGGGAGGTGAGCTGGCACCCATGCATGTCTTGCCTCACTCAGAGGGGGCCACACATGAGCCAGAGCAAGAAGTGCTGAGCACCAGTGCTGCACAGCATCCCCCATTGCTCCTGCCAGATTGCTCTGTGATCTCCTGGGCCACGAGCTGCCAGATGTGACTTTGCTGCTGAGCAGGACAGAAAGGTAATCCTCGTCTTGTGACTTCTGCTGCAGGAGCCCAGCTGGATGACTGCCTTCATCTCTCAGCCCAGCGTCCCTGGAGGATGCCCTCCCTTCCAGCACACAGGGTACTGCAGCATCACCAAGGGTGGGAGACGCTGGGGAGTGCCTGGCCCCTGCTGTGACAGGCTGTCATCCTCAGGAGGGACAGATGGCCAAATGCTGGGGCTAGTTCCTAGTGCTCTGTACTGGGCCTGCAGTCATTTTTCCATCCGTAAAAGAACCTCGAAACGGGGTGCTCTGGCAGACAGGAGGTGTTAGTGCTAACAGACAGCCCTGCCTGCTCCTTGGGTTTGCTAACCCAGTAGCCCAGTGTTGCAGGTTGCCTCCTGGAGATTTATAAGGGATGCATATACCAAAACAGGGCATGGATTGGCATCATTTTGGCTGCAGGTG